GCTGATGAACAATATTGGCAATGAGTGATAAACGGATGCAACTGACTAGGAGAAAATGGAGTCTTTTGTGCTATTTGTTTATTTTTATATATATGTAGATTTTATCACATGGAAAAAATCCTGTTTTTTTTTTGGCTACTTGATTTATTAGTTACTGAGCAACAATGTATGCTAAAATATCTTACTTTCTAATTTTGTTGGTTTCTAAGTAATATACTTTGAAGTTATGTTCTTAGATAACACTAAATTTTCTGTGTCAACCTTTTATTATTTGAAGAAACATATGATGTAAATAAAAGTAGGAAATGTGGATTTTTTGGCTCACAGTTTCAGAGGTTTCAGTCCATGGCCACTTGGGCCATCGCTGTGAGCCTTTGGTGACTGAGACATCAGAGAAAGGTGCTAGAGCAGAGCTGCTCAGCTCGTGGATGCTAGGAAGCAGAGAAACAGAGAGTGCATGGGCCCAGTGCTGCACTGTGGGCTTCTGTCTGCTTTTTATTTTCCCTCCCTCCAAGACCCCATTCTTCAGACTTTGTGCCCACATTCAGGGTGGGTCTCAGTCCCTGAGCCAGCCAGGTGATCCTGTGCTCTGCTGTAATCTCAGGTATAAACACCCTGAAGTTGCTTCTGTCCAACCAGTGTGCTCCTTATTGTGGGTGGTGTTGGGTTTTGGTTGTTTAGGAAATGTATTGTGATCTTGTTATTGATTGGTCTTTATATTCCAAAGCAGTATGCAGTGCCTAGTTCAGAGACATTTACTTGATGAGTGGTCATTTGGTTGATACAAGAAACATTAGTCTGACTCTGTTTCTTATGAATTTCCCTAAATGGAATTATCTGCTCAGGATGACTGGGGCTTGAGATGTCACATAAAAAGCATGTTCAACCATAAAATTCTGCACAGTTTTATGTATCGATACAGCTGCCTTACTTTATTTTGGGGGCTTTTGGAAATGGCATCTGACTTTTGGAGCAAATGCTGTCAGCTACCGATGATGATTTGTTTTTGTCTTTAAATTAGATTACTTTGGTTTTTATATTGAGATATAGTTTAGTTTCTAGAAGTCAATATTCCTATGCTAACAGGTGTCACACTTTTGAGAGTTCCTCTTTTTGATAATGAGATGGTTTTGTTGGTGATAAAAAGTCAAGTAGAGGTGGGCAGTGGTGGCGCATGCCTTTAATTCCAGCACACAGAGGCAGAGGCAGGCAGATCTCTGAGTTCAAGGCCAGCCTGGTCTACAGAGTGAGTTCCAGGACAGCCAGGGCTACACAGAGAAACCCTGTCTCGAAAAACAAACCAACAAAAGTCAAGAAGAAAGAATTTGGAGAGGAAGATAACCATGTTGTTAAACAGGCAGTGTATTAAAGCTGTCTAACTCATAGCCCCCCAAACAAGTGTGGTGCCATGCCAGGCTGACTGATGGCCGGTGACTCAAGTGGCAAGAGAAGCTTGTAGGATTTCTCCTGGGGTTATATTAAATAGAAACCTTGCTCACATGACATGTGGTGACAACTTCTTAATGCCTCCGTGCCATTGGCTGGATATTTCTGAAGTAAGCCCTATTAAAGTATCTCATCTTCTCTAAAATTTTGTTTTAGCCTAGATGAAGATAGCATTCTCTTTCCTTTGGCATGTCCAAATTTGTACATACAGCTATCTGATCAAGACATGAGAGTTTCACATTTATAATAAACATCTAATTGTTATATATTATAATAATAAGTTATAATATATATTATAATATAATGTCAGTAGAAAATCAGGGATTGGGGAGAAGGCGCAGTTCAGAAGGCTTGTCACACAGTCATGAGGGCTTAAGTTTGGTCCCCAGAACCCACATATGAAAAGCTGGGTGCAATGGCATGTGCTTGTAATTTCAGTACTGGGGAAGGGGAGACAGGACGGTCCCTGGGACTTGCTGGGCCTGTGTATCCTGATTAGTGAGTTGCAGTTTCAGTGACAGACTCTGTCTCAAAAAGTAAGGGGAGAGCATTTGAAGAAGACAGCTGACATCTCCCTCTGGCTGTATACATGTACCCCTAACCAACATACATACATACATACATTCCCAGTTCAGATAAGTCTCTACTGGCCACTTTCTGCTCAGCTCTCCCTGATTCTGGCACAGTTGAACAGTTAGAGCATTCTTTCCCTTAGGTGACATCTAGTAGACTGTCTCTGAAGAGAAGAAATTCCTTTCAAAAGCTGATAAATCTTTTTCATCTCCCCTTCGTGTGCTTTCAAGATCTGTCATAGGTGCAAACTAAATGCCATATTGAAAACTAAAAAATAAAATAAAATAAAAATTTCTGTACTCTTTGTAGTGTGTTAAGTGAGCCCTCATGGGGCCTTTTCTGACTGGTTTTCTTCCCTCCCCATCAGTCAGCCCCTTAGCTCTGTCTGCTTTGACAAGGGACTCTTGGATGGGACACTGAGGAATGATCTTTTGAAGTAGTTTCCAAGAGTTTAAGATGATAGTTAAGGGACCATAATAGGAAAATGCCTTTTTAATAAAAGAGTATAGGTTGTGTTTGTTTTTATTTTATACTTAGCTGATTTTTTTCTGTCTGTGCTCTAGGGGAAGGTATGGCTGATTGATTTTAATCCATTTGGGGAAGTCACAGACTCATTGTTGTTTACTTGGGAAGAGCTGACATCTGAGAACAACCTAAGAGGTGACTTCAGTGAAGGGGACGATCAGGGGCAGGTAAGACCAACCTTTTCAGTCCATTCACCACGCCCTTGATTGAGTACGCAGGACTTGGACCACTGGGAAGGAGTCCAGTGGACACAGCTTTGCTGGCTGTTACTTCCTGTCAGAGTGAGTCCATGTGGCTCATTCCTTTACCTGGAAAGCAGAGTTTTTCTACTTACTCTAGTTGTCTTAGCTCTGCCTGTCATGCTCACTGGGAAGAACCTTGACCCTCAGTTCTTATCACTGCTTCTCTGGTCCTTGCTTCCTGCTGAGTGTTCAGAGAGTAGTGGCTGCATGTCCACCCAGAGCAGCGTCTCTTCACAGTGTGACCTCTGCTCTCTTTCGTGATGCCTGTCCCTGGTCAGCGTTCATCTCAATGGTCTCCAGGCTGGTTCCACCTCTTCCAACCATTGTTCCTATCTTCCTCTTAGCAGATCCTTTCGGTCCCTCTAGAGGAAGAAATTACTCAGCTCAGTTGTCTGCAAAGCCTTGGGCTCACCCCTGCCTGCCCTCCTAAGACCTGAGCTCACCCCTGCCTGCCCTCCTAAGACCTGAGCTCTCCCCTGCCTGCCCTCCTAAGCCCTGAGCTCACCCTGCCTGTCCTCCTAAGCCCTGAGCTCACCCCTGCCTGCCCTCCTAAGCCCTGAGCTTTCTGCTGGACTTAGCATGTTGTGTTTCCCTCTCTTCGTTCCTTCCTTTCCACCCTCTTGTTGTCTACTCCTGTCTGTTAGGGGTCAGCCAGGTTCATGTAGCTCCCATCTTAATTTTTTTTTTCTTTAACAACATTTATTTATGCAACTACACTCATTCTTTTTCCCATCATCACAGCTAACCTTTCTTTAAACAAATTTGTTTTACCTTTTCTATCCTTAAACATGCTTGCCTGAGGAGCTACAGGCAAAGGAAATGGTTGCTGGGAGAGGAGGAAGAGTTCTCTTCAGTGGAGGCTGCGGTTGAGTTGTCTTTGTTCACCCATGCTCAACAGCCGACTCTAACAAGTCCAGTTAGGGAACTGCTGCAAGAGCTGGGAGCGGTGTCTCATCACAGCCACTTCCCTAGTCTCTTGCTGCCTGACCTCACTTGCGTCACCCCACATTCCTCGTCTTCTGGCACTCCGTAGACCCTGCCTTTGGTAAAGGCCCTGAGTGACTTGACCTCTGATAACAGACACACAGCCCTTCTCTTACTGATGCTTGGCAGGTGCCCTCCTGTTCTCACCATCTCTGTCTTGGAGAGATACACACTCTCTTCCTGCTCTTCCGGCCGCTTCTCTGCCTTTATGAGGAGCAAGTTTATTTCACTCAGCTTTCCCTTACTGTCGTCACCCTTCTGTCCTGGGCCCTCTTTGGTCTTCCCTTTGCGCCTCTGAGTGAGGTCGATATTCAGCCGAATGCGGTCCTTGCCAAACCTTCTCAAGCACTGTTGATGTGCTTCCTCCTGCACTCAGGTTTCTAAGGACGGTGTCTCTCCTGTCCTTGGTACATCTGTGGGGCTAACACAGTGCCAGACACTGCTCGTGTGTGTCATATCAACCAGTGAAGGAACTTTGTCACTGTTGGTATTTTAGAGTAATGAGCTGTTCAACTGAAAGACGGAATTACTTACCCAAGTAGGAGAGACATAGTTGTTCATCAGAAGTGCTTTTACATGGTTGTTCTCCACACAGTCTTTCATTTACTTCTAAATCTTAGAGGCTGGGACTTGACAGGACTTGGTTCCTGGCTCTTTCCATAGTATTTGCCCTGCTTGTCCTTGGACCATAGAGACCCAGACCTCCCTCTACTCTAGAAACCTAAGAAGCCTGAAAAGCCCAGCTTTGCCTGAAAGTCTTTGATCTAGTCATCTCTACGGGCCCCAAAACCTGATCTGCTCCCTGTTCATCTCTCAGCCCAGATGGCCCCTCTCTAAAGAGCCTCCAGACTGTCCCTCTAAGATGGTCGTCGTTGTCTTAGCACATAGCTCTTTGGTTCCATAACTCCTTCACTGTCTGACATAGTCTGGTCATTGATTTGTTCACTACTGACCATCTGTCTCCGGTCCCCCACTCTGTCTCCCATTCCGAGAACAAAGTCCGCACAGAGCACATGACTCTTGTCAAGTAGTTGGGTTATCTGTGTAAGGTGTGGCCTGCTTTTCAGGGCTACCTGGTCCCGGCCTGTTCAGGTTCCTGTCTTGTCTTCCTCTGCTGGACACCAACCATCCTCACCTAGATAACTGCCACCTGGGAAGTCTAAAGCCAAGACCTTTTGTCTCTGGAGTCCTTTTTGGCACAAGGCAACATGTAAATATCATAAGCAAGACTTGACCAAATGTACTAAAGAATGAGTTGGAAGACTAGTGACCTATGAACTTGCAGTTCATATAGACAGTGTGTTGGCAGATGATTTAAGAGGGGTATAAAAAGATTATGGAATCCAGGGTACTCATTTGCCCTCATGATGAAGGGCAAATTACTTCTCCAAGGGCAAAGCACTTGCAGGAGCATACCTCCCAACTGCACACCTGTAGAAAGTGAAATTATTAGAGTTCTGGCCTGTATGGGAGTGCTTGGACACCGAGGGTACTAATCCTGGGCCCTGTCCTGCTCAGGAGCTTCTCCACAGCACACTGTGGTGTACGCAGGCAGCTCTTAGTGACCACTCAGCTCTAAATGGAACACTACTTTGAAAGGCTTTCTATTCCCTTTCTAGTGACCATGTAGAATTATTTTAAATTCTGGCACCTTCTCTTACTTTAGGATCTTGTTTTCTTCCTTCTGTAGTACAGAAGAGAACAATGGCATTGAGATTGTGCTAGTGTCGTTTTTAAGTTTGGAAAGTAGACCTTAAGAACAATGACAGACTGCTGTTTTCTCTCTGTAAAGGATTCCCCGGCTTTCCGCTGCACCAACAGTGAAGTCACAGTACAGCCCAGCCCCTACCTGAGCTACCGGCTGCCCAAGGACTTCGTGGACCTTTCCACTGGGGAGGATGCTCACAAGCTCATCGATTTTCTTAAGCTGGTAGAGTATGGACGTTCATGTGCGGGCCATCCTTTTCAGTTGGGGTTCAAGTGTGCTCTGTGACATTTCCTTTTAGTCCTGAACCACCTGGACTTTTATCGCTAATTATGAATTAAAGGACCACAATGAAAGAATTAGGCCACTTTGTAAGTAAATAGGAACTATGAGCTCAAGGGGTAGTTTATCAGTCAGGATGGCAGAAGATACTTTTATGACACATACTCATTTTGAAAAATTTGCATACTGCCAGCTTTTAAGTATGTATGTTGTTGTGGGGTCCGAAGACCAAGTCTCCTCTGCTACTACATGGTGATTGTGAATATATGTGTTTCCATGTATGTTTCTTTGTCGGAGTGTGTGCAGCATGTAAGAAAGAGAAGAAAGTATTCAGATGCCTGAGGGTTGTCACTATCAAATTGGTTAAAGCATGTTTTTTCCCATAATTTGTAGCCACACCTTTTGTGAAGACCTCCAGAAAATGACACATTCTGACAGAAACAGTGACCTTGGCTGGGCAAACATTCCAGTTAGAATATGCTGCTTCACCATACTCTTGGTTTCCTTTACAGAAAAGAAATCAGCAAGAGGACGACTGAGTGCTGCCTTGAGAATAAATAGGAGAGGGAAACACAGCTCCCCAGGAGGCTGCCTGTAGAACACAACTCCCAGTGATCCAGCGAGACGAGTGTCGAGGGCAGTGTGCAAAGTCATAGGTTTTTATATTCCTGTGTGTTCACCTGGGGAAAGATGAAGGCACTTTGGTACTCGTAAAAAAATCACATAACAAACAGACCTTAAACATAAGGAAGCATACTGTTCTGATAATAAAATGACTTTTATGAAATACATTTCTTTCCATTTTTATACCTGTCCGGTCGGTGGTCAGAGTTATGCTTTACAGAAACAGTAAGAGAGGGTGAGAGGGAAGAAGAGAGCTTGAGTGACGTGGGAAGGGGAGGGTAGTAGTTGTCATGTGAAGAGAAAGCAGAGTGAGTGCTGAGGGAAGGAAAGGGACCAGTGTGAGGGCAGGGCAGGGGAATGACAGAACAAGCTATAGTGATACACATGTATGGTGTTGCCATGGGGAAACACATTATTTTGTGTGCTGACCTAAAAACATTCATTTAAAAAGTAAAGAA